AAGAAAAAAAAAGCAAAAAAAGAAAAAAAGAAAAAGAAGAAGAAGAAAGGAATGAATTTTTCTGAGAAGCAGGAGAAAGGTGCCAGACATGGGAAAAAAGAAAGAGAAAAGAAGAAAGAGTTGCATTCAACGATTGGACTCCCCTTGAAGATAAAAGTCTTGCTGACAATTGGGCTCCTTCCTTGGATTTATTTGGAAGCATTCTCTGGGCTTGCCTAGTCAAGGATTTTGCTGCTTTGAAGATTCAATTTATTGTAATGCATCAAGCTTTGTGCAAGAACTTGTCACTCACTGTAATTCCAAGTTCAATTAGTGGAGATTTGCCGGTCGTGGTTTTTTCCCTCTACACTGGAGGGTTTTCCACGTAAAATCTTTGGTGTTCCTTTGCCTTCTTTGCTTGCTTTACTGCTCTTTTTTCTGTGCGCTTTGGTTCCCTAATTAACTGTTTATTTGCTAGATGAATTGGTAGTTATATTTGTGGTCCACCTCTATTGGTAGGAGTGCAGATCAACATCTAAACGATTTTTTTTGATCAATTAGACTGGTACTGTAGGTTGGTTGGTAAGCTTCTAGTGGTAGTGCAAAAGTCCAGTCACTGAGATCAGCCATTATTGTGTGTTCGGTTCTGTTTAGTATGCTATAGATGTTTTCTGGTGTTTTGATACCCGAATAAATCCAACGAGTGACTAATAATCTTGTGGTACATAAAAAGGTGGCAAGTTTTGTTGGAACTTTGGTAATGCGGGTAACAGTTATATTTTATTTTTGTTTCTGTTTTGATGCAGTTTTAGTTTGCTGATATTGTTTTGCTGCCACTGTTTGAGGCAGTGTCTTTTTTTATTGAACTTTAGCCTATAGGCCTTGTTCTGCTTTGAACCAATGTTTCCTGTCAGGAAATTCCTAATATTAATAAAGTTCTTTCGTTTCTCATCAATAAAGTGCAATTGAAGTCAAAAATCCTCTGCAAGGGTTACTGACTCCGTTTCTCTTGTTCCCTGGTAATCAGTCATTCTTTCTTCTTCTGTTGTAGATGTTTGCTGGCCAGTTTTCTGATTTGCTAATGGTCCTTATTTTCTTGCTGATTCTGTTTTGATGCAGTTGCGTTGTTATTGTTTTGCTTTATGTGACAAGCCTTATAAATCACAAATTCATGACCAATTTTAAGATAAGATTCCTGGATTTGGTTTATTTTTTCAAATTTCTTTGGTGGCTTTCTGGGCTTTGAGGCATCATCCTTAGAAGTATGTTTGTATCACTGCCTTCTTGTTGAGATCTGTCATTCAGTTTGAGTTTTTTATTAGGTAACAAAATTCTTCTAGATACACGGGGTAGAATTATGTTGATATAATGTGCTTAAGAATCCATATCTATAAAGAAATTCAAATGTTTGGCGTGATGAAAGCCTACCAAATGGGTATTTCTAGCCAACACAAAAATGCTAAAAACAAAATGGTATTTCTAGCAAAACACAAAATGCTCGGAAATCACTCGAACACCTGGAGGAACATCAAGCAAATTATATGAACCATAAGGATTCATTAGAACAATATTGAAATGCTACAGGAATTGATTCACACTGCAACCGAAATGGATTGTTATGCTTATGCTTCACTGTAAAGATGATTGACCACGACTGTTAGCATACTGTATGAGCTAAAAGATGCATTAAAAACTTGCTAGCAGGGCTACCTGTTGGTTAAATGCAAATCCACAAGGAATGTGACTTAACGTTCTGGATAGATAGAAAATAGCCACATAGAATCTTTGGTATTCCTGTGTTCTTTGCTTGCCTTATTTGCATTGAATACTGTCTCATCTCCTTCTCAAAGCTGCAATATCTCTCTCCCAAATCCTATGTTGTCTTACTTTGAGGCAGTGTCTCTGTTGATGTTTTTGACTGGTCAGGAACTTCAGCAGATATGCATATGATCACTTGCGGTTACACTCTTCGCATCATTGTTTCTTGATATTAATCAAGTTCTTTGCTTATCCTCATTTTCTCCTCAAAAGACATGATGCGCGAACCTCAGTTGATAAAACTCCGGCAGTAAACTGTGTTTGTGAAGTAACATTTATGCCAAGGTCTCAGCAACCATTTCTCTCTGCCTTAAGTTGCAACAGTTGTCATATTTCCCCTGTTTTATTTTATACTTCAGAAGTAGTTGAATTGCATGTTTTGTGGACATCATATATTGGTATTTCATTTATTCTGGGCCTTGATTTTAGCCCATTTCTTATTTTGGCTTCATATTATTCAAAATCAACTTAAAAAATGTGCAAAACTCTAAAACAGTAAACTGTACCTGCGCCTTTGTCTGGAAAATTAGCCAACATCCAATGTGCCTAAAGATGTGCTTCTGAAGAAGAGGAAAAAAGAAAGTAAAATCTTTGGTGTTCCTTTATCTTCTTTGATTGCTTTATTGCTCTTTTTACTGTGTTTTGGTTCTCTAATTAAGTGCTTATTTACTAGATGAGTTGGTAGTTTTTATGCGATTAACAACTTTTGCTGGGTGCATATATCAACCTCTAAATGAACTCCAGTGATCAAACTCTTGCTGTGTTTGTATTTTGATGTTGTTTTGTGCTGCAATTGTTTTGCTTTGTGTGACAAGCCTGATTAACCACTCATTCAAGACCAAGTTTTTGGAATAAGATTTGGTAGAAATTTATTTTTTGCATTTTATTTTTTGTAGCTTTTTGGGCTCTGAGGCATCATCCCTAAAAGTATGTTTGTGTCACTACTTTGCAGTTGGGATAAGTGGTTGTGTTTGAGTTTTATACTTTATACCATAGGAAATTGTTGCAGAATCAGGGGGCTTTATGATCAGAGAAAGAGAAGGGGTGTGGATGGTGTGTTGCTAGGTCGGTGGGGAAAGATTGAATTGTGTATAGGAACCAAACAAACCACTTCTATTCTGGGATATATGAAGAATGACTTTTTGGTCTCTTTTGTTTAGTGGTTAGGACATCATCTTTTCATGTCGAAGACGCGGGTTGTAGTAAAACTTGTCAATACATTGTGTTTGAGAAGCCATAAGCTATAAAGCCATTCCAATGTTTGGCGATGTTACAGCAAAACAAATGGCATTTCTGGCAAAAACAACTTGGTTGAACCTCAAGCAGATTATATGAACCATCAAGGTTCATCAGCACAACTTCGAAATGCTACATGAATGGATTCACACTCCAACAAAAATTGATTGTTATCCTTATGGCTGATGGTAAAGATGATTGCGCGTGACTCCACAAGACAGATATTGGTCACTGTGTTATGTCTAGCTCCCTCTTCAATCAGCTGTTGTTTCCTTTTCTTTTACAGATCTACCACATATGTATGCTCTTCGGGTTTGCTGATGTAGTGTTTTTTTTTTTTTTTCGGAAGGTTTTTTGATTTAGTTTTGTTGTTGCAAGTTTGGTAGTATTTGTAGCGGTTCCTATTTTCTTCGTGTGTATGTTTTGCTGATGCTATTTTGCTGCCAGAGTTTGAGGCACAGCATCTCTGCTGAGTTTTTTCTGTCTTGAACCTTAGCTGATGTACCTATATTCATTTAGGGTTATTGTGCTTTTGGTCACTGTGTCCTGATATTAATAAAGTTCTAGCTTTTTCTCATCAAGAAATGAGCAGTGACAGCCAACTAGTCTCTGCTTTGCCTTTTAAGTATGGATATGCATTATTAGCCAATTCATTTGCCTCTCTCTATTGTTTTTATTCTTTGTTTTCATTTTCTTCTAATTTTTTTTTTCTTTTGCTGTGTGATTCACTATGAACCTTATCACTTCTAAGCATNTACCGGTGGATATGCATTATTAGCCAATTCATTTGCCTCTCTCTATTGTTTTTATTCTTTGTTTTCATTTTCTTCTAATTTTTTTTTTCTTTTGCTGTGTGATTCACTATGAACCTTATCACTTCTAAGCATTGCAAAAGCAACATTGTTGTTTTTGTTGGATGTTAAATTTAGAATTTTTCTGGGTGACAGAGGAAGAGAGAATAGTGGCGTGCACTACAAGAAAATTAACTTTGCCCGGCATTATTAGCCGACCTTTGTTATAAGGGCCGGTAAAAGATGTATTTTTTGGCTCAACGTCGGCATATTTCGGTTGATCAAAGTTGATCACAGCACCTGTTGATCAACGTTGTACAGAGTTCATAGACTCATACTCGACCAGTGACCGGAAGTGAAGGATATAGTCTCTCTTTCTCTCTCTCACTTCCCCCACATAATTTATTTAGTAACTGGTTTCCAGTTTATTTCTTCGACTTGGTTGCAATGCATTAAAGTAAATCTCATTTTTGGACAAATTCGAGCTGAAATTATGGGTGGTGAGGTAAATTCTTAGAGGAGTAATGAAAACATAGGAGAGGTAAATTTCTTAGAAGACTCTTCCTATGTGACTTCTTGTGCTTGATGAGTAGTGTTCGTACTGTGTCCAAAAAGATTTTCTAGCTTTACTGGTTTCAATTTCAATAGCTCTATACAGAAAGCGAAAATTTTAATTAGAGAACATTAATGTAATGATTCAATCCATGTCTCTTAGTAGCGAACATTTGATTAAATTGGATACCCACATGAAAATATTTGCAATTAATATGGCTACTATCCATATCATAAATTATATACTGTCATATGCCCAAGTGACTCTGTTTCAGGTTCTGCACCCATGGTTAATTTCCAAGATTCTCCAAAAGAAAATGTGACTAGTAAGTCATTGTTCACCGTCTTGATAAAGGAGAAAATGGAAATAATGGATGCTTTCATCTCCCGAAAACAAAAGGCGACTTACTACCGATCAAGTTCAGTTTCTTGAAAAGAGTTTTGAGGTGGAAAACAGAATTGAACCAGAGAGGAAGGCCCAGCTTGCTAAGGAAATTGGCTTGCAGCCTCGCCAAGTTGCAATTTGGTTTCAAAACCGGCAAGCCCGACACAAAACCAAACCGCTGCGTTCCTTCGGGGACATCAAATACAATTAGAATAATACAAAGGAGATTAGCTCGACTCTTACACAAGGATGAACTCTCCATGACTTGAACTCTCGGTTTTTCTTATCTTCTTCTTCCTCGGATTTCTTGCTCTCTCATATGCTTGCTTGCTTTGTTTCCACAATATATTCTTAAAACTGGAGAAGGCATTGCAACAATCTGCCCCAGTGGGTTTATTGCACTGAACATGCCTCCTGCTCGAGGTCCTCTGAGGTACTTTGCCTTTACCAAAATCCATATCGATTATATTACAAAAGAAGAATCATATTAATGTGTGCATTTTCAGCAGATTCAATAAATACATGTCTAGCACGGATCATGCTTATGCACATATTATTTGATAATGCACAAATTGATTTTGCACTCTACTTGTCAAGTAATTAATGCAGATAATAAAATAGAGAAAGAAAACTCAACACAAGCAACACACAATATAAGTGATTCAGTTAAAGTGATCTACTCTATTGTGAGGGGCTAGGATAGGCTAAGTGTTTTATTGTTGTAGGAGTGTAAAGAAATTAGGTGAGAGGAATGAGAGCTCAGATGAGAGCCATAAGAGCTCAAGTGATGTACAAGCTATATGAGAGAAATGAGAGTGATAAAAGATGTGCTCGATTGTGTGAGATGCCCCTCATGTGTAGGCGAGACTTAAATTATATAATCGTCTCCTAACATATTGAGGCAGCTTATCAGTAATGTAACGCCCCAAAAATCCTCTTGGGTGACATTACATTCTAAAAATCATTCATCGCATAAGAGCATTAAGTAAATCCATCATGACGAAAGTTTCATTCATTCACCATTCATATTTTAACAAAATTTGGGCAGAGTCTCCTCTGTTCGGGGAGTTCTACCCAAAACACAACCTGTGCAATTCTACTGTAATGACCACACCGGGTCCATTTAACTACCATAAAATCAATCCATCCAATTTACATGTTATCCCAAAAGAATAGGCCAAGTTATGGCCTTTACATTCCCACAAAAGTACTATAATACACAGCGGAATTTATAAAATAAAAACTAGGCTATACAATTCTCCCAAAAGATTATCCAAGTCTATAACAAAAGAAAGGGGGGTCGCTCTAAGCATCCACCTNTCTAGCACGGATCATGCTTATGCACATATTATTTGATAATGCACAAATTGATTTTGCACTCTACTTGTCAAGTAATTAATGCAGATAATAAAATAGAGAAATAAAATTCAACACAAGCAACACACAATATAAGTGGTTCAGTTAAAGTGATCTACTCTATTGTGAGAGGCTAGGATAGGCTAAGTGTTTTATTGTTGTAGGAGTGTAAAGAAATTAGGTGAGAGGAATGAGAGCTCGGATGAGAGCCATAAGAGCTCAAGTGATGTACAAGCTATATGAGAGAAATGAGAGTGATAAAAGATGTGCTCGATTGTGTGAGATGCCCCTCATGTGTAGGCGAGACTTAAATTATATAATCGTCTCCTAACATATTGAGGCAGCTTATCAGTAATGTAACGCCCCAAAAATCCTCTTGGGTGACATTACATTCTAAAAACCATTCACCGCATGAGAGCATTAAGTAAATCCATCACGACGAAAGTTTCATTCATCCACCATTCATATTTTAACAAAATTTGGGCAGAGTCTCCTCTGTTCGGGGAGCTCTACCCAAAACACAACCTGTGCAATTCTACTGTAATGACCACACCGGGTCCATTTAACTACCATAAAATCAATCCATCCAATTTACATGTTATCCCAAAAGAATAGGCCAAGTTATGGCCTTTACATTCCCACAAAAGTACTATAATACACAGCGGAATTTATAAAATAAAAACTAGGCTATACAATTCTCCCAAAAGATTATCCAAGTCTATAACAAAAGAAAGGGGGGTCGCTCTAAGCATCCACCTCGGGATCCACGCTCCCTTCTATCGGAGTCTCCAAATGTGTCGACCCCTCAACTCTCAGCTCCTCGTCAAAGGCAAAATCTGAAAGGTGGGGAAGTAGGGGGTGAGCACAAGGCTCTGTAGGAGGATCCTTCCAAACCCATTCAAGGTTTTGAAATCAAGTAAAACAGGTAGGTCACGTTTCGCACATACATATAAATGAATTTTAAAGTAAAGTAAGGACATTTTAAAGGAGATCTCAAGTTTGTACAATAATAAGGACTTGAACGAGAATAAAACCACGTTTAATTGACAAACAATTTCCAACATAATCCACTCCACCATACACCATTTCCACAAGGTATCGCGGCATCCCATACTACCCGAAACTCTTGGAGAAATAATATTTGGTACAATGAACAAAAATTTCTATTTGGTACCACTCAAGTAGGTTGTCGCTTCTCATGAATCTACCCGACGATTCTACCTCGTTCACTCATTTCCACTAATAATCACAGACCAATTTAGGAAGGGCGTGTACCGTCTCATACGGCCTTGACGAGATCCTCCCAAGGTGTCTAGTATACTAACCCTTTTCCCCGGTATCCGTGAACAATAGTGGTCACTGTCACCACAGTGATCCACTACGAGCATTAGGCAACCATCTCCCCCCCCATTGGGATAGACTAACCTCTAACGCTCTACGGCAGTTTTCGAAGGTAATCCAAGTCCCTCACAACACCATACACAAGAGTGACATACCAACAATATACTCAACCTCATATACAAGCAAATTCCATGATGTTTCCCCAAATTTTCACAAGCAAGATACATAATAGAACAATTTAAGAAAATATACCCATTTCGCAAATCATGTAACAAGAGACAAGTTTAAAGGAAATAAGCATGAGATCATCAATACAATCATTTTACTACCCAACACAAAGTTCTAGAATTTTCGAAATCAAGATGATGTGAAGATATAGAGAAAAATCCATATTTCCCCCAAAAACTAGAGTTTGATGGATTTCCAACCATCATTTTGTTCAAATCATGGGAATGTTTGTAAACATACCAAGGAACAAGGAACCCATAACAAATACATACTATTAAGAGCCAAATTCTACATGTATAATAACCCTAACATTAATGGAGAAGGATGGAAGAAAACCCTACCTCAATGTTCTTAAAAACCTAGGTTTAGTGTGAAGAAGATGAAGATTTGATCTTCTTTGAAGTATAGATCTCCTCTTGATCTTGTGTTTTATCCTTCTCTCTTCCTCTAGAGTCCTAAGAGAAGTGGGTTGAGAGTGGAATGAGAGAAATGAGAGTAAAGGCTGAAATCTGTGTTTTTAAACACAGAAATCCCGANTAAGAGAAGTGGGTTGAGAGTGGAATGAGAGAAATGAGAGTAAAAGCTGAAATCTGTGTTTTTAAACACAGAAATCCCGATTTTTTTTTCCTTTACTGTTCATGGGCTGCTTCGATATTACTTCGTTATCGGGGCATAACTCTCTCATCTGAGCTCCGATTGAGATGATTCAAGATGCTATGGAAAGCTAAGAAAGAACTCTACAACTTTCATGTTTTGAGTTTTTAGAGATATTGACTGCATCAAGGTCTAAATTGGGCTTGAAGTTACAGCCAGTGCACAGTTCACGTGCACTATTCACTATTTCATCCATTTTTCCATTTTCAATCTACCAAATTCAAACACACATCGCTATACCTATCCCCATTTTTACAATAATTATTTAATATATATCTATATGCATATATATAAAATAAAATGCGGAGTGTTACAAGTAATTAAAATACTAATTTGGTGGATGTGGTGTCATCTTCACAACAGATGAGACTGTTGCGGGGCTCTCCTCAAGACCAAGTCTTAGGATGACGTGGTTGACTTCCTTGCTCCTTACTCTAAAGTGACGTAGATGAGGCTTTTGGAATGACACTGCTTACTCTTTGATGACGTGGCTCTTGGGACCTTGACGAGCTTGAGTAGGAATTCATCCTTTTTGAGTTGGACCTATTGGATTTCGTATAAGTGAATCCTTTATTCGAGTTTGGCCCATAACTTGAGTTGGGTCTTGATCCGGGCCTATCATTATTAATGCTTCTGGAGAAGCATATGAGTCAAATGCAACACACATTTGAAGCTAAGATTGAGGCAAAGTTTGAAGGACATGCTAGAGAGACACTTTCAAGGACATGCTGGAGCCTCTTCTGCATTTCATACTTCATCTGGCCTGACGAGGTATTACGGTTTTCAGACCTATATCCTCATCCATTATAGTTTGATGCCAATTCATATTTCCAGATTGTAGGATTATCTTCATATTTCAGACCTATATCTATGCTCATTTTCCACTCGGCGGGTTTTTGCATTGGCCAGAGTTGAAGATTTTTTTTTTTGTTCGACTCACCAATTTTTTTTTTCAATAAAGATAGCACTATTGTTGAAATGTTTGCCCTTTTATAGGTGTGTTTGATTAGTCTGTCAAGAGTTCCTTTTTTTTGTGGTTTTGATAACATCTAGAGGTGGCAAATGGGTGGGTTAGATTGTTATTGATTAAGTTAAAATAAATTCAATTTATTTTTTACTCAGGTAATAAATGGGTTATAATGTGTTGAGTTTATAACAGGTTAGGTTAAACCGATTAACCTATAAAATAATTAAAATTCTTAATGAACACATTAGTACATCAAAACACACACACACACACATTAGTAGTACACCAAAATATAAAATACACACACACACACTAATACACCAAAACACACACAAACTNTTAGTAGTACACCAAAATATAAAATACACACACACACTAATACACCAAAACACACACAAACTAATATACTAAAAATAAACATACTAAAATATACACCAAAAATATACACACATATACTAACACAAAAACTAAAACACATTTAATAAAAAGATACACAAATAATAATGGGTCAAGGTGATTGTGGGCTATGGGTTATGGGTCAACCCACGGGCCATGGATCGAGTTATGGGTTGGTCCATGGGTTATGGGTCGGTCCACGAGTTATGGGTCGACATGTGGGTCATGGATTGACCCGTGGGTCATGAGTGGTGTATTAGTGTGTGTTTTTTTTGTACTAGTGTGTGTATATTTTGATGTATTAGTATATATGTTTGTATTTTTTGGTATAATAGTATGTGTATTTTTTGGTATATTTATTTAATTTTATTACTTGTATTATTTAATAAAAAGATAAGTATTCAACCCAATAGATACCCATTTGTAATTCATATTAACCCGCTTAATTAAAATGAATGATATTACCCAACCCATTTAGAACTCATATTAATTAATATAGG